TCACTCACATCCTTGGAGTCAGAGGTTGCCTAGAGATCATTTACCTGTTCAAATAGGTGTGGATTTTTTCCTCTGTGCACTTTGCTTTCCTTCCTTTTTCCCCCTTCGTGTTTTATTTCCTTTTCCCACCCGCTTCTATGCAAAAACAGAGCTGCAAAAATAGAAGCAAAGAGAGGAAGAAACAGAATGACAGAAAAACAAGGAAACTGAAAATATGGAAACTGAAGGAAAGAAAAAAAGTCGAATATTTACTAAACAGTTTTAGATGAGAAAACATTCCCTTCAAAAGTGACTTCAAGTATTGAATTGGTGCCTAATTCCAAAATGTGGCTCTCCTTCTGTCAGGTCTGGACAAGGCCAAGGAGTAGGTGGGAATAAGAATTGCCTAGGCTGGCAAATCTTATTCTTTTGTGTCCATAAATCTTATTCTTTTGTGTCCATAAATATAACAACTTGCTGAGGGGTCTCTTGTGTTTTATTTTATGAGCATGTTGTCCTGGAGAGCTGTGGGCTTCCCCGGGGCCTCACACAGCCCCCAAGCACAGGCAGCACTCCCTGGAGAGCTGTAGAAACTGTCCATAAAGTATCAGGAAATCGTCCATAAATTCTTAATCCCCATATTAAATAATCTTTTCTCTATCTCTGGAGTCGAATGAAGCTGTTGGGACCGAGGCCCCGGTGACAGGATGGAGTAGAAGCTCCCAGAGCAGCTGAGTTTGTCTTTTCCGGGCAGCTATTTTGGGTGCTCTGACTCACCTGGAGGTTCCTGTTTCACACTGGCTGTTAGAGGGAATTAGGGAGCCTAAATTTAGCTGCTGTTGACATGAAGGGAAGTGGTATGTTAATACTGCAGGATATGTCAGCTCAGGGAGAACTGATGACTTGGCTCCCTCCCCTTACAGCAGAGCCAGTGGCTGCTGCCTGCAGGGATCCCACGGAATTCCGGGGGGATGCTGAGAGAGGAGGGGCCAAAGGCTCTGTCCCTGATGGAAAGGTCAGGTTTTGGGGGTCTCACAACCACCACTCTCCTTGGAAACACCGGAATTTCAGACTGTCCTTCTCTGGGCTCTGCCCTCCTCCACTCCAACTCTGCAAGCTCCTAAAAAAAAAGAAATTGGGAATTTAAACCACTTCAGCTGAGCCCCCCTAGTCAGGGGGTGGTGAGTCCACGTGTGGCTGCAAAAAGTGCTCTTCCAAAACACTTTTCCAAGCCCTGCATCCTCACATTCCATCACACTGTCTTAAAATTGAGTCTATTATAGCTGTAAAAAGCCAAGGCTGGGAGAGGTTTTGAGGTCACCCAGTGCAGCTCCTGCTGCCACAAGTGTTGCTCACCAGAATTTGCATTTTTTTCAGTTATTCTCCCTTCAGCAGCTGCCTTTGCTTTGAGGTTTTCCCTTGCTGCTCACACCAAACACAAGCTGTATCACTTCCAGTTTTTCAAGACCTGTGAGTAAATAAGGCCCAGCTGAAGGTCCCAAAAAGCAAAGGCTTCTTATTTATTTTGGTTTTTTTGATTGGTCATTTGTGTTGAATAGTCCCTTTCTTACTTTATCTTCAAGACAGGGTGCTCGAAAACAGCAGAGATGTTTGGAGTTTTTTCATCTAATAAAATTATGAATAACAATATAAGTTTAAGAGCATGAGCAATTGGACTATCCAAAAGATTTTGCAGAATGCTGTTTGCTCTTCAGAGGACTCTGAGTGGATGAGAGGAGTGCAGAGTCAGCAGCTGTCCTGCAGAAGGTCAATGCACTATTGATCCAAGAGGGATCTTTAAATAGGGATTGCTGTGCATTTTTAGGTTAGCAGGGTTGTCCTCTGGAACAACAAGGGATTTCTCTCTAAGTCACTGTGATATTTTCCCCTTGGGCTGAAGAAAAGCAAAGAAACAAAACCAGGAGTGAATGTGAAAGTCCCTCAGTGAAAACGAATCTGTGCCAGATAAGCCATGGCCTAATTTTCAGACGTGAGCTTTGAGGAGTTTTGGGTTGGGGCCAATTTCAGGGGAGGTGCCATCCAGCCTTGTGAAATCTAATTGCAGGCCTGGTTTCAAAGCCTTCCCAGCTCTGTAATCTCTGGTGTTAAACTCGGTCAGATCTTGGTTTGCTGCCCCCGGGTGAGCTGGGCTGGAATTGTGTTCCATCAGCTCGGCTGCTCTTGTGAAGTCCCCCTATTAACTTTTTCTACAGCAATTAACAGCCAGAATTAAGCATGTTCTCCCTATCAACCGAGATTATAAATAACTCCTAAAAATGCCCCTTAGCCAAGTAGATATCAGTTTAAAAGTGCAACTTTCTCAGTGTCTGGGAGGGGCCAAAAAACCTTGAGAGAGAGAGAGAGAGCAGAGCTGTGAGGTTGTTGCTGCTGCTCCCCGTGCCTGGTGGAGTTAATGATGGAGCACAGGCACAGAAATCCCCACATTTGCTCATCTGAGGACAAGGGGAGGGATTTTTACAGTTTCTCCATGACTTCAGTGCTTTCAATATCCCTCTTTTCTCAGGGCTGAGCCCCGTGGTGGGGAACCAGAGCAGGGCTGGTTCCTCAGAAGATGCTCCTCAGCAGGGTGAGGACCCTCCTGCTGCACAGGGCGGGGACAGATCCCACAGGGAATTGCTCCTGATATTGCTGAAGAGACACATCATTTGGGGAAGGATCAGCCTGGAGTTATTTTTTTTTTTAATTTGTTAAAAATCACCTGCTTCAAAAAACTTAGGGAAAAAAAAAAAAAGGAAAAAAGGATGACAGAAAGAAGTGACTCAGAGTCTGTCAGAAACCAAGGCCTGGCTCAGGGCCTGCCTTGCTTCAGTGAAAGCTATTTAACATTTCTATAACTGCTGGGGAAACTGGGCACTATTAATGGGCTCTCTTTGTGGCTCTAATTTATTCTTATTTCTCAGAGGCAACGGAGTAGAGGCCAGATTGCTTTATCCTGTGGTATGAAAAAGCCTGGGGCTGAGGAGCTTAGCACTGCTTTGTCAGAGTTTCCTCCATCTGGCAAAATAATAGAATAAAATCACCCTAAGCAGAGAGCTGCTTTATTTTGTAAAGAATGCTCTTTCTCTTTCTTTTCAAAGCCTTCAGGAAAAGCAGGGCTATGGGAGGTGTGAGTAAATTCATATTTTCATTCATTAGCTGCCTTTGCTACACTCAGGACCTGTGAGTTCCCACGGCCAGGCTGGCTTAAACTTCTCTGGAAATCAGTTATGTGGATCAAAGTGGAGGCAAATAGAGGTTAAAAACCCTGTTCAGAGACATGAGAGATTTAGAGAGTTCAGAAGGGTGAGGAGATCCCAGTGGAGGTTATAAAGTCATAGGCAGGGCAAGCTGACTCTTATAAAAATAAATTTCTTTTTGTTAAGGGAAAAAGAAAGAAAAGGAAAAGAAATCCCTGTTTTCATTTTTCTTGGGTTTAGTTTTCTTTTCTTTTCCCTTCTCTTTTTTCCCTGCCCCACAACCATTAATAACAAAAGGAATCTTTTTTTTTAATCACTGTTTTTCAAAACAGAAAGTAGATAATCTCTAGCAACGAATCATATCAGTTACTCCTGACCTTTAGAAAGTGCCTTGTGTGTTTTGAAGTCACCTGGTCGACGAGACAAAACCTCATTAATGTGCTCCCTCAGTTCCTGGTGACATAACACAAGTAACAAATTACCACCAGGAGGAATAACCTGAGTGTGCTCACACAGCCTGGGCTACATCACTCGACAACATCAGCTAAGGCTGAGTAATAAACCACCGGGGTTCTGAAGCCAAAAACTAAATCCATGAGTAAATGTTTTGACGGGAAGAGTTTGCCAAGCTCTAGTCATGTAACAAATGTCAGCCAGGCAAGGGGAAAAACTTGCATCATGGTGAATGCAGACCTCAGTGGAGGCTCAGGGATGAAGGGAAGAGAGGAATGAGTGAATTGATACCAGATTCGGTGAAATTTTGGTCCCTTCCCTCCCCACACTGTAAGAATTAAACTTCAAATAAGTGCATGTGTTGCTGCAATTCATGGAATAAGAGAGCCCGAGATTCCTCTTTTATCCTGTATTTTCTGAACTTTCCATTAAGCCAAAAAAAGCTCAAGCACCATCCATCCCCTGGGCTGCCAAACACCACAGCTCTCAGCTGAGGCCAGCCCGAAATTTGGGAAAGTCTGGACCTCAGAGCTGACTCTTGGCTTGTCAGCAAGTGTTGGAGGTGTGTTTAGAGCCCAGTGTGGTCTGGGTCACACAGGAACTGTCAGACAGGCAGGGCAGGATTCAAGGGAAATGTATCACAAGGAACTTTGCTATTTGCTGGATTTGCATCTCGATTGTTACTTTAATATTTGGTATGAAAAGGTCTAAAAACCCCAGGTGAGAACAGAGCCTGAGCACTGTGCATGGACAAAGTCTCTGTCCCAAAGAGCTTTATATTTAAATAGGAAAGATGGATAAATAGGGAAAAGGAGGACACTTGAAGTAAATTGCATAAAGTCCATAGCAGAACACAGCACAGAAATATCCTGTAAATCCCATGTTTCCTATGTCCTGTCCCAGAGTTTCAGCTGCCAGCCCAAGAGTCAATGATTTCATCACCTTGGCTGTCATCCAATCTATCCATAAATCTACTCCAGAGTTGTGGTTTGTAAAGAAAGCCTCGATTACAAGCTTTGACTGCTAGTTTTGTTTGGAAAGACCAGGTCAAAACACTGCTCCATTCCCCATCTCCTCAGCACAGCCAACAGCCTGCTACCCTAAAAGTCTCCACATTGCTTGTTCTCCCCATAATCTGGTTGAGTTTTAAGCTTGGCACACCCGTGGGTTGTTTCTGGATAGTCCAACAATCCCACTTGGATCCAAAGCACAGGGACCTTTGCCAGCTGTGGCTCTTGCAGTGTTTTGTTTCGTTGGTTTTGTTGTTTTTTCTGGGACACTCACAAAGTTCCTTGTTTACCCTGGGGCTGAGGTAAGACAGGACATTTAAAACCAAGGTGTTGCCTAGTAAAAGCAGGCTACTGATGTTCAGAGCAAGGTGGGAGGTCAGGGAGCTGCTCACATCTGGTCGCTGTACATCAGCACCCCCAGGACGTTCTCGTTGGGGAGGGAATCTTCATTCAGGAACTGAGGGTGATTCAGTGCCACTGATATTCGGTCCTCCACCTTCAGGTGTGTCAAATGGAGCTGGAACAAGGTCTTAAAAGCCTTCCCTTGGCACCTTTCTGACTCACACCACGTGGACAACGTCTGCCTGTCCACCCTGTCGTTCACAAGGAGCTCTATCTTGAGGTCAGTGGGGCTTTTGGAGCAGTTGGGGAGGTGGAAGTTCAGGTGGCAGTAGATCAAGTAGACACCTTGTTCCTTTATCACCAGCTCTTCATTCCTGCACTGGATGTCCTCACAAATCCCCTTCTGCACCAGGCTCAGCTTGGAACTGTTCCCTGGGTTGGCCACTGGAAAGGAAAGCAGAGAGGTGTTACCAGGAGCTCCAGTGACCTGAATTCAGCCCGAGGTGACTTCCAGCAGAGTGTTGGCTGGGAAAAGGAGATACCTGTTCAGTAATTCCCTGCAGGAAACTCTGAGAAAAAGCCAGGCAGCTGGGAAGTCACACATGGAAATGGGGAGTTAAAAACTTCCAAGGACTTAAGCAGCCCTCAGGAAATCCAAACCAGGCTGATGCTTGAATGTACATCTCCATTATTTCCCACTTGGTATTTGAAAGGAAATAATGGAGATTTATATTCATGTGTGTGCTCAGAACATAGCTCTTTATTTTTAATTTTTTAAAGTCAAATTAAAAAATGGTTTATAGCATCAGACAGGGGTTTGCCAACCAAACCCACATTCCAGGAAAGCTAAGGATTTATTTTCCTATAAAATGCCCATTTAGTCATCAAAACTATTTACCACTAAACCCAGTTTGAGTAACAGGAGCAGGTCTTCAGCCAGCTCTTGCCCTTCACTGACCTCTCATGTAGGCAGCAGCTCCCTTGGTTGGGACACGCTGTAGGATTCTGGAATAGTCTTCAAAGGTGTTCCCTGAAGGAAACAACAGATTAAGTGATCATTAGTGGGTTTTATTTTGTGGGGTTTTTTTTTTGTTTGTTCATTTTTTTCTTTTTTTCCTTTTTTTTTTTGGTTTTTTGTTTGTTTGTTTGTTTATTTTGTTGGGGGTTTTTTGTTTTTGTTTTTGTTTTTTTTCTGTTTGTTTTTTTGTGCTTTTGTTTGTTTGTTTGTTTGTTTTTTGTTTTGGTTTTGGTTTTTTTGGGGGGTTTCTTTGGTACTGTAAAGTGCCATCAGCATTTGGTACTCCAGTTATTTGCTCTACCTGTGCTAAGGACAAACTGCACAGCAGCAGCTGGAGCAGCAGGGAGGAGCTGGTTCTTACTCCTTGGCTGATAATATCTGATCTGCAGGGGGAATTCACAGCAGTGTAACTCTATTGGTAAATCTGTAACATTTCAAAGCTCTGGCAGATTGCAGCTCTCGGCCAAACAAATTAGATTTCTTATTCTCCTTCTTACAAACAGAGGTAAAACTTTTAAACTAAAAGAGGGGCAATTTGGATTGGATGTAAGGAAGAAGATTTTTTACAGTGAGGGTGGGGAGGCCCTGGCACAGGTTGCCCAGAGAAGCTGTGGCTGCCCCTGGATCCCTGGAAGTGTCCAAGGCCAGGTTGGA